TGCTCTACGTATGAACAATTTCTTAAAGGAGGTAAATTATTGACAAGCAAGTTGATGAAACAAGAATATCAACAGTCTCGTTTAAAGTCATCATTTCGTAAATTCTATGGTCGATACAATGACCTTGTCAGCAAATACAATTTATCATTGAATGAAATGCTGACTGACGTTTTTCATACCAATTGTTAGTCCATTATTTATACACTGAATTGACGACGGATTTTTTCCCGTTATTTCCTGATTATGACAACGAGCACACCGGCGGTGGTGACCGATGGGCAGGGGATGCTCACTGCTCCATGGCACCCGATCCCACCTCTGATGTTTCGGAGGTCCGTGTTTGCTCTGCTCTAATTTTGTATATTGTTAAATGGACGTTGAAATTGAATACTGTTCGTTATTTCCATATCCTTCTCTTTAGTTATTTCGGACAATGCTGGAAACACACTTGGAGAATAACAGTTTAGGATTTGCTGTCATAGTAACTGAAGTGGAGAATGTTGGATACGTTTGACTCAAAAAAAAAAAATTGAATATATGCTGTTTAAAATTATACATAAAATGTATATGTAGCATTTTGTTGTCATTTGTCTGTCTGTCTTTAGGTGAGTGACATATATTGTGAAAAACCCTGTATAAAGAAAACAAAAATAAATTGCTGAAGAGTTGTTGAACACAATTATTTCAAAATGAATGTCCCTTTCATTTAATAGAACGCAAAGGTACTGTTTCCTCAAATTCGAGGATTAAAAGGGACAAAATTCTTTCATGTTTTTGCTTTGATCTACTGAAGCAAAACTGTTTATTTTTACTAGTTGCAACTAAATCTTTTATATTTGTGAATCTTTAGGTGAGTGACATATATTGTGAAAAACCCTGTATAAAGAAAACAAAAATAAATTGCTGAAGAGTTGTTGAACACAATTATTTCAAAATGAATGTCCCTTTCATTTAATAGAACGCAAAGGTACTGTTTCCTCAAATTCGAGGATTAAAAGGGACAAAATTCTTTCATGTTTTTGCTTTGATCTACTGAAGCAAAACTGTTTATTTTTACTAGTTGCAACTAAATCTTTTATATTTGTGAATAATTTTAAGTGATAGGGATCAGAATGTTATATCTTTGACTCTTTGCTTTATATCTTGAAAAAGAAAAATAATTGATAAGCAAATACCTTTAGGGTAATGTGATTCAAATCTCTAGAACAAAATCTGAGGTGAAAATCTTTATATCATTATCTTTTAACAAATATTTATGTCAAAATCACATTTCATCTTAGCGAGAAATCGGATGGAAAACCTACTCGATGCTCGCATCGAGATCTGGCTATTCTTATTATTATTAAGGTCTTTCGTCTCCAACGAAATATTTCAATGATTTCGATCGGTTTCTTTAACCCTATTATTAGGGTCTTCCGCTTCCTTCGGAAGACCCTACTGTTTCTTCTTTTTATTTTATTTTTTCCCATCGGATTTTTGACAGGCGATTTCTCAAAGACCTTTTTCGCGATTTCTATGAAACTTTCAGGTTAGATACCTCGTGCTTTCACCTACTTATACCCGTTTTTAATTTTTTTAATATATGCCTTCATTTGTGAGTTTTTTATGTCTCGTGTTGAAGTTTTGTAAAATGGTCCCATTAAGGACTTATATAGGTGGACCCTAGATATTTCCACTCACGATATCTCTGAAACGAAAAGAAATCACTGAACAGGTGTTGAGCAAAAAGTCTTTGAAGTTACAAGTCCTTTCATTTGTTATCAAGAAAAAGGGGCTGACTCTTCAAATTAAGGGTTCAGAGGGGCAAAAAGTCTTTCATCTTAAACTCTTTAATGATTAGTATTTTGTGATACATTACAGAAGGAAAGGTACAGTACCGACCAGACCCAACCTGACACAAAGCAGTCCTAGAGAAGTCCCGGGGACTGCTTTCTGAGACTGCCAATGCAGTCCCACAGCGGTCCCAGAGCAGTCCCAGAGCGGCCCCAGCAGTCCCAGCGGTCCAAGAGAGCAGTCCCAGCAGTCCCAGAAAGCAGTCCCAATGGGCGGGGTTTATTAATTTAATGGGCAGAGCTAACTCAGAAATGAGATTTCCAATAAACAATGGAACTATAAAAGGCAGTAGAAATTGATTCTGGGTAGTATGCCAGGAATCCTTATATGTACGCGAAGATCATTTATGAACAGAACATAAACGCGCTTAAAAATTGAAATAATTGTAATATTTATTGGAGGAAGAAGGCTTTCACACTTACATGTACATATATCAATTACACTGAACATGAATATTTAATCACATTTCTTGGGTATATTAATAATTCCTCTGTGATTGATACTGGTTCCCATATTTATTTTTTATAAAGAAAATTAAACGTGAATTAATTATTTTCCACCAGAAGAAGCTTTAAATAGATCTTATCATTATATGGCCTATTAAGACTATCGGGCTACTCTAAAGTTAGAGTTTTCTTAAGTATTGGGGCTTTTAAAAAAATTCTTTGTTAATTTTGCCAAGTATTATTTTTCAGTCATGATTATTTTTACTGACATGACAATTTAATTATCGTTAATGCCTAGTTCTATAAAATTCGGTTTTAAGTTTTTTATTTGTAAATGTTAGAGTACATCTGTAAATCACCAGAATAGAAACTTCAGATTATGTTCATAATTAATTAATCCCGAAAGAAATTTATACATATTTCATTTATCACATTTTTTTCACATAAAATAAATTGAAATTAACGTCATTGTTTACCAGCGTGTTCATTGATGTGTAACACTGATACAAATACCCAAATACATGTAACATACATCGATTTTTCTGCCCATAGGCGATTGAAACAATGGGTGTTGATACCATCTTATAAACATTAATCGGCCAGGTAAACACTAGCAAAACAGAAAAGAAATAAATCACAATTCCCGGTATTTTCATTTAAAAAAAATATATACTCTTTTTATAACTTGTTTATTAATTAAAAGCTACCGGTAATTAATTAATTCCCAAATGATTATTCACATAGTTTATGTTACGGGAGAATGGTAGCATATTTTATTTCATGGTCATTAAAAAATTATTGGGTTTTATTTGAGGGTTATACATGGAATACTCTTCTTTTAGCGTGGTCCCTATAAAATGTGTAGCACTTTAATATTTAACTGTAATGATTATTTTTAAATAGTACCAATGCAAATTTTGAGTACAAATTAAAATTTAACATTAAATAATTAAAAAAAGGCCCACGTGTAGCTATTTTTTTTTCTCAGAAACTTGTAGTTTATTTTTAGGGATAAAAATTTTCTCATGAATTCCTTATTTACCAACTTTATTTTTTAAAATTTATTCTAAATACACATTTATTTGTGTCAGTAGATTAACTATAATAATCTCTACTTATTAAAAGAATGTAAGAAATCCTTGCTTATTAAACAGTTTAAACTCCTCTCTGCTGCAAGTAAACAAAACAATAGGGAGCCTGCAAATTCAGAATACACAAGGGGGCGGAGCTATCATGTCACTCAGAACCTTTTTCACACATAGGTGAACAGAGCAGTCCCAGGGGCAGCTTCGACTGCTGGGACTGCTTTTCATAGCAGTCCCAGAGCAGTCCCACAGCGGTCCCAGAGCAGTCCCACAGCAGTCCCAGTGCGGTCCAAAAGCAGTCCCGGGGACTGCTTTCTGGGACTGCTTTGGTGTCAGGTTGGGTCTGGTCGGTACTGTATTCATCTTAACGATTTGCAACAATATATTATGACATTTTAATCATGTATTACGTAATAAAGTGTCACAAGGGGCCAGATTGCCTAATCTGTGAAACTTCCTATCTCGAAAAGGAGGAATATTTTGATAAGCAATATTGAACAAAAGATTGTCAGATTAATGTTTTAAACAATATGCATACTTTGAATTTGTGTAAAAAAGCCCAATAAAGGACTTGTAGGGGTGGCCCCTAAATATTTCTATTCAGCATTTCTCTAAAACGAAAAGAAATCTCTGAATAGTTGTTTAACAAAAAGTCTCTGAAATCACAAGACCTTTTATTTCATTTCAAGAAATAAGGACTGACTCCTCAAATTAGGTGCTCAGAGGGGCCAAAAGTCTTTCATGTTTAACTCTTTAATGAACAATATTTTGTGATACATTACAGAAGCAGAGATATTAATTTTAAAGATTTACAACAATATTGTAAAAGTTTGATCATATGTTACGTAATTAGGGGGTCAAAAGTGCCAGAATCTTAAATCTTTGACGCTTCATACCTCGAAAAGGGCGGATATTTTGATAAGCAATAATGTTCTAAACAATATGCGTAATTTGAATTTTTGTAAAATGGTCCCATTAAGGTCTTATAGAGGTGGCCCCTAAATATCTCAATTCAGCATATCTCCAAAACGAAAAGAAATCTCTGGTTAGGTGATTAGCAAAAAGTCTTTGAAATTTCAAGACCATTCATTTGATATCAAAAAAGGGTTTACTCGATCCTCAAATTAGGGGCTCAGAGGGGCTAAACGTCTTTCATTTTTAACTCTTTAATGATCAATATTTTGTGATAAATTACAGAAGGAAAGATATTCATCTTAACTATTTGCAACAATTTATTATAAAATTTTTTATCATCTTGTATGAAAGATGGGGTTGCAAGGGGCGTAAATGCTATATCTTTGATGCTTTATATCTCAAAAAGGGGGAGTATTTTGATAAGCCATATTGAACCAAAGATGTTCAGAATATCGTGATAAAAATCAGAAGTTTTAATCTTAATGACGAAAAATTACTGTAATTCTCTTTGAAGAATATCTCAGTCAAAATCAAATCTCATCTTATCGAGAAATTCAACGGTAATTAATTAGTAATTAGATTTATTAAATAAAGATTTAAACTTTCATTTCAAGATTTTTAAAAAGGCATTGATACTCCAGGTATTCTAGAAATATTCTTCGGCTTTCGGTGAAAAACACATGCATATAGTACACGTTTTCCTTGTTTTGATTGTTTGTAGATGTACAAAAAGCAGATGCCGGGAACTTGACTTGTGAAGTTTTAAAACAGGTGAAGGAAGGATGGAAATGGGTCAGGGATGACTCTGTAGCCAAAAAGTCTGTATCCATTAAAATCAGAGGTAAGGATAATCCAGAAAAAGTCTGTAGCCATTAAAATTAAAGGTAAGGATAACCCAGGAAAAGTCTGCAGCTATTAAGATTAGAGGTAAGGATAACCCAGAAAAAGTCTGTAGCCATTAAAATTAGAGGTAAGAATAACCCAGAAAAAGTCTGTATCCATTTAAATCAGAGGTAAGGATAATCAAGAAAAAGTCTGTAGCTATTAAAATTAGAGGTAAGGATAATCCACAAAAATTCTGTAGCCATAAAAATTAAAGGTAAGCTGTAGCCATAAAAATTAAAGGTAAGGATAACCCAGAAAAAGTCTGTAGCTATTTAAATTAAAGGTAAGGATAACCCAGAAAAAGTCTGTAGCCATTAAAATCAGAGGTAAGGATAACCCAGAAAAAGTCTGTATCCATTAAAATCAGAGGTAAGGATAATCCAGAAAAAGTCAGTAGCCATTAAAATAAGAGGTAAGGATAATCCAGAATTGTATGTAGCTATTTAAATCAGAGGTAAGGATAATCCAAAGTCTGTAGCCATTAAAATTAGAGGTAAGGATAACCAAGAAAAAGTCTGTAGCTATTAAAATTAGAGATTAGGATAGTCCAAAAAAAGTCTGTAGCCATTTAAATTAGAGGTAAGGATAACCCAGAAAAAGTCTGTAGCCATTAAAATCAGAGGTAAGGACAATCCAGAAAAGTCTGTATCCATTAGAATAAGAGGTAAGGATAACTCAGAAAAAGTCTGTAACCATTAAAATTAGAGGTATGGATAATCAAGAAAAAGTCTGTAGCCATTAAAATCAGAGCAAAGGATAATACAGAAAAAGTCGGTAGCCATCAAAATTAGAGGTAAGGATAAAACAGAAAAGTCTGTAGCCATTAAAATCAGAGGTACATGTACGGATAATCCAGAAAAAGTCTGTATCCATTAAAATCAGAGGTAAGGATAATCCAGAAAAAGTCTAGCCATTAAAATTAGAGGTAAGGATAATCAAGAAAAAGTCTGTAGCCATTGAAATCAGAGCAAAGGATAATCCAGAAAAAGTCGGTAGCCATCAAAATTAGAGGTAAGGATAAAACAGAAAAGTCTGTAGCCATTAAAATCAGAGGTACATGTACGGATAATCCAGAAAAAGCCTGTATCCATAAAATCAGAGGTAAGGATAATCCAGAAAATGTCTGTAGCCATTAAAATTAGAGGTAAGGATAATCCAGAAAAAGTCTGTAGCTATTAAAATCAGAGGCAAGGATAATCCAGAAAAAGTCTGTAGCCATAAAAATCAGAGGTAAGGATAATCCAGAAAAAGTCTGTAGCCATAAAAATCAGAGGTAAGGAGAATCCAGAAAAAGTCTGTTGCCATTAAAATTAGAGGTAAGGATAACCCAGTTGGTAGCCATTAAAATGAGAGGTAAGGATAATCCGGAAGTGTATGTAGCTATTAAAATTAGAGGTTAGGATAATCCAGAATTGTATGTAGCTATTAAAATTAGAGGTAAGGATAATCAAGAAAAAGTCTGTAGCCATTAAAATCAGAGCAAAGGATAATCCAGAAAAAGTCGGTAGCCATCAAAATTAGAGGTAAGGATAAAACAGAAAAGTATGTAGCCATAAAAATCAGAGGTAAGGATAATCCAGAAAAAGTCTGTAGCCATTAAAATCAGAGGTACGGATAATCCAGAACAAGTCTGTAGCCATTAAAATCAGAGGTAAGGATAATCCAGAAAGAGTCTGTAGCCATTAAAATTAGAGGTAAGGATAACCCAGAAAAGTCTGTAGCCATTAAAATGAGAGGTACGGATAATCGAGAAAAAGTCAGTAGCTATTAAAATCAGAGCTAAGGATAATCCAGAAAAAGCCTGTAGCCATTAAAATTAGAGGTAAGGATAACCCAGAAAAAGTCTGTAGCCATTAAAATTAGAGGTAAGGATAGCCCAGTTGGTAGCCATTAAAATTAGAGGTAAGGATAACCCAGAAAAGTATGTAGCCATAAAAATCAGAGGTAAGGATAATCCAGAAAAGTCTGTAGCCATTGAAATCAGAGGTACATGTACGGATCGTCCAGAAAAAGTCTGTAGCCATTAAAATCAGAGGTAAGGATAACCCAGAAGAAGTCTGTAGCCATTAAAACTAGAGGTAAGGATAACCCAGTTGGTAGCCATTAAAATTAGAGGTAAGGATAACCCAGAAAAGTCTGTAGCCATAAAAATCAGAGGTAAGGATAATCCAGAAAAAGTCTGTAGTTTATAAAATCAGAGGTAAGGATAATCCAGAAAAAGTCTGTAGCCATTAAAATCAGAGGTGAGGATAATCTAGAAAAAGTCTGTAGCCATTAAAATAAGAGGTAAGTATAATGCAAAAAAAGTATGTAGTCATTAAAATTAGAGGTAACTAAAGGATAATCCAGAAAAGTCTGTAGCCAATAGAATTAGGGGTAAGGATAATCCAGAAAAAGTCTCTAGTCATAAAAATTAGATGTAAGGATAAATCAGAAAAGTCTGGTGCCATTAGATTTAGAGGCAAGGGTAATGCACAAAAGTCTGGAGCCATTAAAATTAGAGGTAAGGATAATGCACAAAAGTCTGGAGCCATTAAAATTATGGGTAAGAATAATAAAGGTAACTGTAAAAAAATATTATAAAATGCATTGAACTGTAGAGCATTCTATAAAATAACGATTGTTAACGTTTCCACAATATAAAAATGGTGCCTGTTTTGGACGGTAACAGTTGAAATTGACACCCTAAGGAAAACCATTGTCAACCGACGCGTTTTGGAGGGTAACAGTTGAAATTGACATCCCAAGGAAAACCATTGTCAACCGACGCGTCAGCGGAGGTTGACAATTGTTTTCCTTGGGGTGTCAATTTCAACTGTTACCCTCCAAAACAGGCACCATTTATTTTATTATACTGAATGTCTTCTTGATTTACTGTATCAGCAAAACAAATCGTCGATCGCCTTTTCGTTCACGTTTAGAAAACTTTCAAACTCCCCGCTAATTCGAAAAAGATTTACTGACCCCTTTATTGTTTATTACTCTACGAGTCCTTTATCATCTAAAGTTTCGTTATTTCTGCACTCGCAAGCATGTTTCGTCTGTCATTTGTTGTTTTCAAGTAAGCTACATCGGACGCAAGCTTTTATTGATGTCAAGTTTATTCCGATTCTTTCAAACGCGCAACTGACGTTTTGAGAATTATACGGTGAACCGTACGCGCAAAATTTCCACGCACGTGGCATTACCGTTGTGTTACCCGTTGTCACGTGTGTTGCTAAGGCTTAGGGTAATAGAACAGATTGTTAACTGCGTCTAAACTAATCAGATTTTAGTATTTAACATGAAAGTATAATAATGTAAATTATTATTAGAAAGACTGGGCTAGAATATTTCTTTTATACTGTATGGATGTCTTATAAAAGAATTGGCTAGATACCTTGTGTTCATGAGGTTAAACGAAATGATTTCGAAATTTCATACATCATTTCAACTCCTTGGATAAGCCAATATCAAATCACATAGTAAAGATATCATTTATATATTCTACAGAACCGATCACTTCAATGACTTTCAAGTTTGACCAGTCCTACTCAGAA